CTGATGAGGAAGTGGCTTGAGTAGAGATCTCTTGTGATCCCACTTCTGATGACGGAGGAACGGTCCCCGTTCTGTTTTTAAAAAGTGTGACGTCAGCATGGCTGACGTCACCGATACTATGTTCTTGGTTATCACTCATCTTCAATTTTCAAAGTAAAAAAACTACAAGTTCACTAAAAGCCTCGTTTATTAAACTGACAGCGTAACAACTTATTTTAAGTAGGTCCGTACAGTTCGACAGCTCGAGCAAGACTGAGCCAGCGCGCTCTGTGCGGCCGTATTTATAGTGTAGCGAGCATGTGCACATTATTGTAGGTTAAGTTCTAACTTTTATTTTAATCACAAGATTTTTACATTACAAAATCAGACAATAATAAATTCTTGATTTATAAACAAGTTTGACGTAATCAATTATATAATTCTTCTTGATTTATAATTTTTATTGACTAATTTATTGTTGTTGCGCCGATATATAACATACTTTGTTTTATTCCTCGAAAATCCGAGTTTCATAAGGAATTAGATATGCTCGATTGCCTCCTTAGTGGCTAGAATTGGGTACTTGTCAACTAGTCGAAATTCAATACTTTTTTCGAACTGTCAAAAACGAAAGTTTTCTATGAATTTTATACAAGATTGAGTATAGTGACGTCACGTTTTTTTTAGCGTCAAACAGCATACTTAGTCTTAAAAAGTTGTTGGAAAATAAAAATAATTTAGTTATTCATAAAATCAACTAATGAAAGTGTGATTACTTTTTAATATTTTATTGTATTGAACAGTCGAAATAATTTCTTTTTGATTAAGGCAAGTAACCAATTGTGATTTTCAAGGCGAGGACTTTCGTAACGTGCAAAGTAATTTTCATACGACTGAATTGGATTTTTCGCCATGCCTTTAAGGTAGAATATGGTTAATGGACACTATTTTGTATAAGACCTTTTCTTTTGTACCCATGTTCGCAAACGAATAAATGATGATGATGATGATGCATGTAAATGCATGTACATGTTTATGTGTGTGGTTCGCCATATTATACTATTCTCACTTTGTAAAAAACTCACTTTGTTTGTGTTTTTCTCTTGTAAAAAACACGTGTAACCTGTGTAGCCTGTTAAATAGTGTCCGTACCTAATTGTATAAATCTTGAGAACATTATATTTATAAAATTATCGAGTATCTTAAGAACTGTTATTTCTGCTCCACAGAACCTACAATCGTTTTCATTACTGACTGCATTGTTAGAAAAAAGCTAAAAATTTTCGATTTTAACGATGTTGACGTTTTTATAACTATAATTTAAATAGGACTTTAAAATAAAATGTTGCTTATATCTTGCAGGTACACGTAAACGGCGCTCACTTAGAACCTCTCCGCTCCGTAACGCCCCGTCAGTGGGAGATCGACAACCTGCTCCGCATCAGGACATTGGAACAGCTCACGTCGGCTGAGAGAACGCTGCAGTCTTTGGCGCAGTTGCTGGGTAAATTATAATTATCTGACTAATGAGATCCCCAGATCCGAGGAGTTATAATACGTAAGTTTTAGAGATTGGGTATTAGGCATGGTCCAGCGAAAGGATTAGGTCTCCGGTGACGATGAGTAAGATCACACGGCAAAAGACAACGCTTGTTTCACACCAATTTGATATTCAAAACGGAGCTATCTTAAGGGAGATGCCTTTGTGCAGTATTGGATGTGTTCTAGCTGTTGACAATAATTAATAGGGCTAATATTTGTTCCTCAGTCACATAGAAATGCCTTTTCTTTTCACTTCCTTGTCCTGGTCTTTTTGACACTCTTTTTATTTATTTTTTATTTTCAGCCATGATCGTCCCACTGCAGGGCAAAGGCCTACCCTCCTTCTACTCCTCTCTATGTAAAGCTTTTTGCGGCCAATCCTTGTCATAGATGTCTAATTCGTCCCATCATCTCCTTTTGGGCCTGCCGCGACGTCTACGGATGTTGAGTGGGCTCCACTCAGTAGTAAGTTTTGCCCAATGCTCGTCTGACATGCGGCAGACATGACCAGCCCAGTTCCACTTCAAGCCTGCGACTTTTTGGCCAACGTCAACGATTTTACTTGTGGAGCGCAGCGTGGTGTTCCTGATTCTTTTCACACTTAGTTTGTGTATATAATTGCATTTTTATGGACTTAATAGTCCACATAGCAAAACATCTCTGGGACTGGTCAGCTCCAGACTGTATTATTTTCCTTAAGGTTATTTTCTTTTTTGATCACTTTGACTGGATTTTAGTGTTACATTGTTCTCGCACAATCCAAAAAGCAAAACTATGTAACTAGTAAATTGTATTGTGAACCTGAATGAAAAAGAGTAACCTATGGAGTTTCTTGCTCGTTCTTCTCCATAGGAATCTACACCTTGGAATGAGCAAATAGCTTCACTTTTAATTTTCTTTTTGTTGACGTTCAAAAGTGCCATTCTGGCCTAATTGAAATAAATGATTTTGACTTTGACATCAATGTCAGCAATTAATCATATGTGAACAATTTTCCAGGTGAAATATCAAACATAGTGATCAACGATGAAGTGGGAGCATCAATCAACTCGGCAGTGGAGAGTATTCAGCGAGCGAGCGAGTTGATGTCCCACGGCGACCTGGTGCAAGCATACAACATGTCGCAGAGCGCTTTCCTAGCTGCGGAGACAGCGTTCATGGAACCTAGTCTATTAGCGCTTCTGTACTTCCCTGATGACCAGAAGTGAGTGTTATTTCCAATTTTTTCCAGCATATTATTATAAGGGCGGCGAATAAGCAGACTGATTTTGTCTGATGGTAAGTAATGAAATCGCCGCCATTTATGAAACAGGGATCCAGAGTTATTATAAGTGCATTGCCGACAAAGCAAACGATATATTTTATTCTTATAACTGCGATTAGCTAGCCACGGATAAAACAGGTAATTAGCAACCCCTTAAGTATTGGGAGGCGATTTGTAACTACGATCCCCAAATCACCGATTAGCGGGGATTGGGGTACCTAAACTTTAATCAGACAGTTTTTGTTTAGAAGTGGATGAAGATGCCTATTTATTCGTTCTCTGACAGATATTACTTTATAAATTACTAGATTTTACCTGCGGCTTCGCTCGCGTAAAAGGCGCAAAAGGATAAAAAGTAGCCTATGTGACATATACCGATACACACAGCGCCATCTATACCAATACATTTGTTTTTCCTTGGGAATATAATTTTTTTCCGGGATAAAAAAAACCTATTATTTAATCCGAACTTCCTACTGTACGTCAGCAAAAATTCAAAGCAATCGGTTTAGTAGTTACGGCGTGAAAGCGGAACAAACAATGAAACATTTTCCGATTTATAATATTAGTAAGGATTATGTTTTCGGCTTACTCGCGTAATTATTTGACGAGGAACTCGACTCCGAAGACGAAAACTTAATAATGTATTTAGTATCTCTCACGAAAGTTATAATACAGATATTACTTTGATTTACATTTATGTCTTTCCCTAATAACAAATTTATTTCTTTTCAGGTATGCAATCTACATTCCACTGTTCCTCCCAATAATGTTCCCAGTGGTGTTGTCTCTCAAGAACTTAATACTTTGGTTCAGAGGCAAGCCCGTCCACAAGGAGAAGACGGAATAAACTCGTACAATCTTATTTATATTTTAATTAATTACAATTTATTTACTGTGAATAAAGTATTATTGTTTTAATTAGTTCGGTTTCAATTTTATTAGCATTAGTTCTGATTATAATTATAATTCCCGGATCGGACAAAATATTACTGTACTTTGTTTAATTCTCAGTAGTAGCATAGAGTATGAAATTGTACCCGGTATATAGCAATAGGCTCACCCCCTATGGGACCCCCTATGGATATGGGAGTCATAATATAAATAGTGAAAAGTGGGTGTTAAATTGTGCAGCGGCATTAAGTGCCGTAATGTGCACCTCTACCTACCCTATATACCTTCAGGAATAAAAGAGGTGATTATGTTATGCAAATAAGGTTTTAAAAGCATTTTATAAGCTTAACCTTATTTATATATTTGTTTGACCACTATCTCGCCTGGTGGTAAGCGATGATGCGGTCTACGATGGAGCATGGTGTCCCATAAGCAACCTATTCCTAAGCTCTCATAGACCTGAAACTTATAAAGTGCGATCTTCAACCCACAAGGTTTTTAAGTTCATCAATGGACTGAATAGAGGGCGTTCAGCATAACATCAGACGTAAGCAAATTAATTGTACCTAAATAATAATGAATTGATAGTTTAGTGTAGAAATATTTGAAGAATATAAATAAAACAACCAAGTTTGCTTCAATTATATATAATGTATCATTATTAATACTTGAGGTACTTAATCAGAGTCCGAATCCAATGAAATTATTACTTATCTAAATATATTACGATATCATTGTGCAGAAAATACATTGTGTATTGTTCAATTATAATTTAATCTTATTTTACGCTTATGCAGATACTGATAACGGGTTTATTAACTCAGGAAAAAATTAAACTTATGTACTCAATAAAATTAATATTTTTTGCGTAAATAAATCACAATTCCTGTCAAAACTCAAAAAGTTAAAAAAGTTCTGAACTGTTTACCAACATAATAAACTAAAATAGGGGTGTACTCAACAAAAAAATAGTCAAAATCAGTACTTTTTTAAAAGTCACACACTAATTTTGACTATGTGATGTGTTCTTATTTATTTATTTATCTATTTATGCACAACACAGAGACAATATAAAGGAGAATACATATATCTTAATGCCAATTAGCATTATATATTATCTATTCCAATTTCAATTATTTTGTTAGAAATTATTATGGTAGAATCAGAAAATCAACAATCGAAAAGAAACTTAAATTATGTTATTCAATGCAACGTTTAGAAAATGTAATACCTACTTGCATTTTATTTTTCTTTTATTTATTTTTTTACTAAGGAAACTCATTGCTCATAAAATATCGCTACAGCGAACAAAAATTAATTAATCGAGTCTGAAGTCGTACTTAATAGCTCAATAAACCCGTCTTCAGTACAATTTGACTTAAAACCTATTGAAGTGATCATGAAATGTTAACGATGACTGATATGTGGCATGTTCTTCATTAACTCAATTTATTTACTTTATTAAACGCTTGCCGTATGCTTGTTACATTTTAACTTCAATCTTTATTTCCAAAGCTAGTAAATACGATTCACATAAATCTGCACTGAAATATTTCAAATGAGTTGGTTTTAAAATCAAATAATTATTGGTATTTAATACACCTTAAATATTTCAATATTGTGCGATATTCGCCAAAATAAGACTTTAATGTCTAGCTTGACTCGTTTCATTGTCACAACTTTCTTAATTCCTTGCATTATAAAGACAATCATATCGTAGTCATAGATTGTTGAACATCTTACATTTTAAATAATAATATGTGGATACTTAGCTTATTTTTTTAGATATGCACCGATTTCATCGATTGTGAACTGCAAACATACAGTTAAGTTACATTTTGTAATATTTTCATTCCTTCTGACAACAATTTCGATTAAAATTGGTACACATCCGACATTCATTTATCTACTATTAGAGGACATTAACACGAGTTATCTAAGTACATTAGGATTCGTTCCAATCAGTTTCCGTGATCATGGCAACATTTTCACCCTTGCCCGGTAAATATTCAAACTCCCAGAGGGAGTTAGCCAACACAAGAGTTTCTCCTTCTGTCAGCTCAAAGTTTAGAGTGTAACAATCATCTTCGCAAGGCGCTCGCGGTCGTAATTGAACAAACGACTTGCCTTTCAACTGAGACATGATTATCAATCCAATGTCAAACTCCAAATACTTATATCTATGAGTATCGTAGTTCTTAGACAATAATAACCAATTAAAGTGGGAGGGAGGGATGTGAGGGGACAGGAAGTATGGCCTAGGTGCGAGGACCCTGAAGGATTTAACTGCACGTATATCGCAGTTTTGGAAATGGACAAACCAACTCGGTATGTCTGTGTTTGTTATCCTAGAAACTATTTCTTCTAAGTCCATAGGCTGTCGTCCGATTCTTATGTTGGTTAGGATTCTACAAGGAACCGAGTCGCGGAGTCGGTCATCGTCGCTGATCAAACCGGTCAGGTTAAGTTCATCTCGTGAAGACCAATCGTAGTGAGCATCCACGACGATAACCGGCGCCCCGCGAAGGAGGTGGTGGTTGAATACTTCGTTGTATGAGGTGTCTGACAAGCGCGCAATGTTTTCTGAAAAAATTATACTCTTGGTGAATATTTCAGTCAACTCATCTTATTCTTGAAAATGTCGAGTTGCCCCCAATAATTCGGTTCAATGAAATCGAATTAATTCGATTGAATGGGCGACAGACATTTTATGAATGTAAAGGGGCTTGTAAGTTATTCAAATTAAATGGAAATTGATTTTATTTTGAACGAATTTGCTGCAGAAAATAGCACCCGTTAAAAAAGGGATGACAAATACGTCATTCATTAATTTAACTACGCATTTATCGGATTTTAATTAATTATATTTTTAGTTCCATGATGTTGGTGTCCGTTGATAGGATATTACCTTTTTTTGAATGGTTTACAAAAATGTTTTTAGGAACTGGGCCTGCCTTTATAGAGGTACACGATAGTACAGCAATTTTTTCTTTGTTATTTTTTTTACTATACACAAGAATGAGTAAAATACGATTTAATAATCGAAGTTCTGATATTTATTAAAAGATATTTATTAATACCTAAGCTACTATAATAATAAATAGATATAAAAACCACTTCAGTCTACTCTGTTGCTCTTGTGCACAACGATTAAATTGCATTTAATCGGTGTTAATTTTTTTATAACGAAAATGAAAAATCAATAGGTTGTTTTGTGTACAAGAGCATTACAAATGAGCCTTCACAATCGTATCAAATAACATTTAAGATTTGAGCCTTGAGTCCCAAGTCTGTTATTGTTAAAATACTATGCAGAAATATCATGAAAGTTGCACTGCACTGCAAGCTTTGGTGACACCATTACGATTTTCTATGAATGGGATGGTAAGGAAAATAACAAGCTTGGGACCACCACCACCACACAAGATGATTTCTTCAATCATTCATACACTTATTTAACAAATAATTAAAGCATTTAAAGTTATCACTTTCTACTGATTATTGAAACATTTGTGCTGATTAATCAATGAGAAGCTAAATGGTGAATTAGACACTGCTAGTGCTGCTACGTATGCAAATCCAAGATTTTTCAAATCATTTGGCCGTCATCCTAGCCATCTGAGAAAAAGAAAAGAAAAATATTTTAAATCCAAGCGAATGCTCATAACTTGTATTTATATAGGCATTTACGCTTGTAAAATGTACCGGACGAGTAATCTTAGCAGTTTTTCCAACCCATTATGTTGACGTATCCAATAACGTAAGAAAATTCACGCAAGCGTTATCACCAATAAATAATGTACTGATTTAATAAGATGATAAAAATAAATAATGATGACAATACTTACTGACTGCCTCGCAGGCTATGCAATCGGTTGTTGATGCTCCTGCTTCGACATTAGGTGGTTCCGCAGGTCTCGCTATCATGCACTTGTTGTGGTACAGAGGTGTCCAATCCCACACTGGCAGCAATTTTATCAAAACGATCCTGGCCAAGGCCGATGCATGCCATTTGAAAGTATCCGTTTGGCTCACAGTGTATCCAATGGCTATTCCCATTATCAAAACGAGGACCACCCTTGTCCAACGTTTGATAGTAGCTTTTCTCACAGAATTTGTGAGAGGACGACAAATTAAATCCATTTCTTCATCGCTCATACCAGCTTCCTTACAATATTCGTAAAAAGAACGCACTTCAGAGTTAATTAACTCGAATTTTTCACGTTGAGACATTTTTGCCCCGTTTTTGAGACTCATCTTGATGACCTAGTCTCGCGGCGATCAATAATAAACTCGACGGTTTTATTGATAGGAATGAAATTTCGCGCGCGCGCGGAATGCTCGATTAGTTTTTTAATGTTGCAGTACTGTCGCAATGAATGTCGTCGATGATACAGCGATTATATAGGCACATAAACGAAAATTCGCCTAATAATAACGTTCAAAATCCGAAATTCATGTAATATTAACTGATTTGCAAAAATAATAAAATCTTTAGTATCAAATTATAACATATTTTAAATTTTTGTTTATTATTCTCAAAATAGTAACACGTGAACTTACTAATCATAAAATTATATAAAATTAGTTTTAATGAACTAACGTGGAAATATTAATATATGTTTTTAATTACGTTTCTGTGTCGTAATTTTAACTTATAAAGTATTATTTTAAAATATTCAATTAACATCTACCGAATATTTTCTCGGAATGCCGAATGGTAATTATCGTCTTACCAATTTGTTTTTTACAAAGTTAAATTGGCAACACCAAAAGTCAAATACCTGTACGCCATATTGAAAGTTCTAAGTGGGAAGTCGGTCAAACGCTGACCCTATTAGTTATTTCTATTTATTGTGTGACGATATTGATTTAAAAACTTATTCTAAATTTTTATTACGTATTTAGTGAACGATTTGTTGTGATTTAAAATAAAACAAGTGCGTTTTTACAATTTGCAATTCGCCTAATGAATACGTCACAGCGCCATGTTGTATTCCTGCGCTGATTGCAGGCACGAGAAATCTGCCAACCCGTTTATTTTCCGGGATTAGTTCCCGAGAATAAATCGAACTGCGATTTTGTACTCAAATATATTTTAATTTATATTTGTTGGCAAATGTCAAACAACTTTAGTGGAATAGATGCATCCCTGTCATCGAATTTTAAGTGCTAATTCCTAAATCCACTGCATTTTTGTGCATCCGCGAAAGTTGAAAGGACTGTGTTGTAAAAGAAAGAAGTGACAATTAGCCAAAATTCCGGTCCCTACGCGCAGACGAGAAGGTGCCTACCCGCCGGGGCAGTCAGGCGAAGGAGAAATGAACAGTAACAAGCGTAAAAACCGCCAAGGGCCGCCGAGGTAACTACCATTTACCATCATCTTTAACCATTGAGCTGACATGTCTTTGTTGTTGGGGCTAGTGTCCGCTGAAAGCCTAGTAGCAAACATTTTGTTGTCACGTTGACAGATTTTAGGAGGTTGTTAAGCATGGATACTCTGACAGTGTAAACAAAAATGAGATTGTGCGGTGTTGTGTGGTGTAAGATCGGCGCGTGCGATGCGGCGCGTCGCGGCGCTCTAGTCTAGATGTTTGGCCTACTTTTGCTCCGTACTCGATACGATTAATATAGCCGTCTGATCAGCTGTTAGCGATCCCAGTACGCTAGTCGCAAACCGTACTAATTATGATCTACAATTTACTATCTAAGCTCAATATTGGAAACTATCACTTTCATGCGGGATTTTTCTGAAATATCCAACATCTTGTGTGGAGCCTGTGTTAGGAGAGGCATTCTATAACATTCTGTAATAGGAAGTAAGGTAAATGCTTTTATTTTCAATCACTTTCTCTAGTTTGTACAATGGTGGATATAATTACTGGCAAAAGTCCAAAGTTCTTAATTAGAATTCTCTTAATGCTGTTAATTTGTGTTTGAAGTTAGTGTACCATACGAATTGTAACTGTGACTGATAAATTTTCATGAGGTGAAGATTATGTATGTGTGAATCTTGTAAGTAGTTGTATGTAAAATACTCAATGTTTGGGTGTTGAGTTTTATGATAACTCGCAGTATACTTTTGTATGGTTACAGTTGCATGAAACACATGTATGAAGAAGATTAGCAAAGTTGATATGTCCATGATTCTCATTGTGATAAATATTGTTTTTAAAGAGTTAGTAGTAATACTAGATCATTGCATAGAATCATCACAATAACCAATCCCTTTCAATTGCCTTATGTGGGAAGTTAAATGGATAATTCACAATAGTTTTCTTTTATCAATGAACTTAAATTGCACGGTCAAAATGAGTTTGATGAGGTAATGACAGTGGTTCATGGTGTGTTCTGGATAACATGTGTTGAGTGTTATGCCTAACTAGTAGTAACTAATTATCAATATTGTTTTCTAATTACAAAGAAATATTTTATATCACAAAGTAAATGAAAGTGTTTCTCGGCAATGCATGGTCTCTTCTGATCAATTTTACCCAACTTACTCACATGTGTTTTCACATCGGACAATAGATAATAATAGAAGGCTTCCAAGACTAGACGAGGATGCATGGAAAGATTGATGACTGTTTATGAAGCGAAAGGAAACCTATGTAGGAATTGTAGTAATTACCTATGAAGTTATGTATGTATAAGGCTTCCAAAGAAATCTTTTTAATCCCTAATACTGCTGCCAGTATCACAATGTTTTATCTCAAATCTATAATTCAGATATTACAAGTCATTGTTGTCTAGCCTGAAAATTAAAACAATTTTTTTTCACTCAACTCTATAAGTTATCTGTAGTAGCTTTGCAGTCTATGGTAACAATTTTTATGCATTGCAATGCTGACTTTCTAAGAAAATATGGTGATTTGCAACACAAATGAGTTGAAATGAGATGGGTTTTCCATATTTGATGAAGTTTTTTTGTTTATTGGATACATCCTGGTGTTGATCGTGTGATTAAAATTTATAATGATCAGTTCCTGCATTCTGAGAAATGATGCTAGGATTTTTCTATGATACTACATAAAAACATGGAACATTTTGATGTTATGCAAAAGCTTTGACATTTGTTCACTATCAACTTTATGATAATTGAATACTGATTCAGCAATTTTCTCTTTAAACTGTCAAACACCAAGCGGTCACCGGTGACCGCGACCCATTGTTCTTTAATTGTGTCTATAAAACCGGTACTCGACGAGTTAATATACTTAGTTCCCTCACGGTGTCAGTACCTGTCATGGAAATTCATCATTTTTATCATCATGTATACACACAACACTTTAAAGATTCACCATGGAATTTTGACCTATTCTTGAAGCCCCTCCGAATATAACTTGAGAAATGAAATAGAGGAATATTAACATGAAAAAACTTGTATATGTTGTTCTAGAATGTACCACAGTTTTAAGAGTAATAGTGAGAGGTATCACTAAGGCATAGACATTTATCAATTGAAGACATGTTGAGGGAACTATGTAGGTTACATGATGCAGTGGTCATGTCTGATAAGATAACACTGATTTTAATGTACAAAGTTTTCTAAATATTGTCCATGATTGAATACTGGCTTAAAATATTTTCTTTTATCAATATATGTTAGCTTCTCAACATTTGTATTATAACTTTCGTGAGATATACTAAATAAATTGTCTGTCGCTCTGCTACTCCTACAGTAGCCTCGTCGCCGGTTGCGAAATGATGCTCATGAATATGAGCCTCTAGCATGGCTTGAAACTAGTCGAGTTCCTCGTCAAATAATTACGTGAGTAAGCCGAAAACATAATAATTTACTTCTCAACAAATTATACATATACACTAACCTAAGTGTGAGAAGAGAGTGTTTCTTTGTAAATTACCCTTGCCTAGACTTTGACGATTAAGAAATAAAAAGTCTGATGTTATGTTACAAGTTTTAAAAAATATTTTACTGTTTTTAGTACTAACTTATAAGTATTAATCAGTTTCCAACAATCATTATTTGTTTTGGCAATTCCCAAGTTAAGCTTAAAAATATAAACAAAGATTTATATTAGGAAAAGTACATATTGATAACATTTGTAGGTACATTACTTTTTGAGATAAAATGTTTCTGATCCATCTTTGTGTGAGCAAATATGATTTGATGGAATTGAAAATTTTAATATTAGGTTGGAATATAAAAATATCAAAATTATTGTTATATTTTCCTGCATATATGTCATAACTTTGCAATATCTGACAATCTGATATTTTTTATAGTCTCATCAATCCTTGTTACTTACATTCTTGCAAACAGAATTCATTTTGGATATGGTTCCCAAGTTGAACTAAGGGATTTCTTAAAACTTAGTAGTCTCACGCTCAAGCCTCTTAACATATTAGGACTCCTGACATACATATCTAGTGCAAAGTGCATGTTACATTAATTATTTACATCTCTGCCTATACCTTCAGGTCTTAAAGTACTAAGTACTTGCAGAACTATTTATCTACCAAAATCATAACATTAAAAGCAAACAAACATCATTAGTTATCAATACTTGATGAGGCTTGTCATTTTTGTCATACTAATGTTTCATAATCATTGGCCCAAACTATTACTAATTACTTATTTAAACAAATAGCACCCATTATTCTAATGGTTTGTTGGTTGAGATAACATATCTATTGATCACAAGTCTTTAAGCACTGTATTAGGACAAAATTCCTAATTTTTAAAAGACTCAGGTACATTTTTAATCCTAATACAACTACTATAGTCCTTGTTGGTTGCCACTCTCTGAATTGTATATATACCATAAATGCTATAAATTAATGTCATATTGCATAGAAACATGGTAATATACTTACCTGCTTTTATGTGGAAATCATAACTAATGAAAAGCAGGAGTCACATTTTATATGTGCTCCCTATCTATCTCTTTACTGTAACTAAAAGCGTTATGTTCGTGTTCTAAGGAATATATTACTGTTGTACTTATGTAAAATACTCACAAATAGTAATTCAAACAAAATATTAACAAGTCATTGTATAGAAAGCACCAGTTGTCTTATCAACGTAATAAAGAAGATTATGAATGACCTGTCATCCAAAACACTCAACCCAAACATTTTGACAAACCCTTGAGTTTTTACACAATTTCTTTACATTACACTTGGGAGCAAATAAACAGAGCCACTAGTGTTTTTTTTTAATTTCATTGAATCCTCTAGATGTTAAAAAAATCCTTTTACAACAGAATGCTTTCATTTTAAAGGTAACTAAAACATACATTACCAATTAACTTGTTGAGTACCGTATTTATAGACACAATTAAAGAACAATAGGTTGCGGTCACCGGTAACCGCTCGGTGTTTGACAGTTTAATAAAATATTTGTATCAGAAAATATTCATCAAGAAATGAAAAAGAAATAATGATAGTGGCTCCGTTTCTTTGCTCATATGTGTATTTTGACAAACCCTTAAGTTTTTACACAATTTCTTTATGTTTGTTTACTTTTAAAGATTGTGTATGATTATGGATTAATGTGTATGTTTATGGATTATTTAATGTCAGTGTTTATTTATGTGTCTGTGAGAATGTGTGCTTGACACACACGTATCAGTATTATGTGGTGTCAATGAACCTTACACACACATCTGCCTTTTATGTACAGATAGAAGATTATAGTGTGTGTAATTTTCACCAATTTTATTGATGTTTGATAAAGTTATTCGAAATCTGTTCATTCATATCGCTGTGCACATTTATGGCCTTATAGTAGAAGTGTTTATAATCATTTATTGTTGACATAAAAGTGCTACTTAGTAGCGTTTTTGTGAAATTAGTGATGTAAATGCTTCCTCAGAAATATTATTTTTATTTATTTATTTATTTATTTACTAGTTTATTTACACAGTCAATACACAGGAAAAAATATATAACATAACTAGGGTACATAGATACTACTGCAGCCCTTTATTCTTTTAGTCTTATTATAAAAAAATATTTTTAAGGTCGTGTAACATTAAATTTAATATTAATATGGCAGCCTGATTACAGTACTTAGTAATTATTACATCTTAGACCATGAATTCCTTTTGTCTCTGATTGTGGTTGATTACATATTCTAGCATTTGATTTTAAATGATACTTGTGCATGTAATGGTGTTTAACTGACTTCAAAAACAGAAGGAGGTTCTCTGTCTGACCTGTTTATTTGTCCGCAATCTTCTCGCCATTGCCTGAACTGATTTTGATGCGGTTTTCAAGTGTTTGTTACACTTAATAAGAGCAGGTTTTAGTATATTACTAGACTTCGAAGTAGTTGATGTCGGTTTTTTAGAATGTAGTTTATGGAAAGTATTACTTAATTAACCTTCTTAACTGATA